TAACTTTTCCACGGCCCACAGGCTGAACAACACTGCTGCCAACCATAACACAACATGCCAACCGCCCTTTTAGAGACAAAACACAAACGTTGAGTCTCAAGATATGTGCTTGATAAGATACTGCTAAATATGCAATCTATTGTTTGTGCCTTCTATGATCAGTATAGATTTTATAGTCATATTACTGGTAAATTCTTGTGTTTAACATAGACATATGCCTAACAAGGAGATCTATGACAGATGTTCAAATCAGTCTGGTAAATATTTGTGTTTAACATAGACATATGCCTAACAAGGAGATCTATGACAGATGTTCAAATCAGGCTGGTAAATATTTGTGTTTAACATAGACATATGTCTAACAAGGAGATCTATGACAGATGTTTAAATCAGGCTGGTAAATACTTGTGTTTAACATAGACATATGTCTAACAAGGAGATCTATGACAGATGTTCAAATCAGGCTGGTGAATACTTGTGTTTAACATAGACATGTGCCTAACAAAAAGATCTATGTCACGTTCAAATCAAGCAGATGCCCTGCTGCACTATTTCATTTTTTTTTTAAAGGGTAGGAAATTATAGAGAAGAGAAGAAAAAATGAAAGGAAAAAAAATACATAGTTTATGCCAGCTTTACAAAATCCTTAACAATGAGTAAACAATGGACGCTGCGGTGATCAGCCTTCATCAGCAAACAAAGACAGAGCACTCACACACAAACTATGAAATGACTACATTCGAATATTATGTACATGACTATGACAAAATACTAATAAACTACAGGCTTAAAATAAGTAGGTGATATTTATCTAGGTCACTGGGCGAAGTTTCGGAGAGTTTGTAAATCAGTCGCTGAACTAAGGTCACCTGGTAATTTCAGAGAGTTTTAACTAAGGGCTAATAAATCAGTGCATACAGCTTTGTTCTGAGTTCAACACCTTTGTGCATCACAGATAAATCTATGTACAAGATAAAATCTCATCAAGATAAAATCTTTGTGCATCACAGATAAATCTTTGTGCATCACAGATAAATCTTTGTGCAACACAGATAAATCTTTGTGCAACACAGATAAATCTTTGTGCATCACAGATAAATCTTTGTGCAACACAGATAAATCTTTGTGCAACACAGATAAATCTTTGTACAACACAGATTTCTTTGTTGAATAAATCGTTGCCCAAGATAAATCTTTGTGCAACACAGATAAATCTTTGTGCAACACAGATAAATCAACACAGATAAATCTTTGTGCAACACAGATAAATGTACAACACAGATAAATCTTTGTGCAACACAGATAAATGTACAACACAGATAAATCTTTGTGCAACACAGATAAATCTTTGTGCAACACAGATAAATCTTTGTGCAACACAGATAAATCTTTGTGCAACACAGATAAATGTACAGATCTTTGTGCAACCCAGATAAAACACAGATAGTGTAACACAGATAAATGTACAACACAGATAAATCTTTGTGCAAATAAATCTTTGTGACAGATTCTTTGTGCGCAACACTAGTACAACACAGATAAATCTTTGTGCAACACAGATAAATCTTTGTGATACACAGCTAACAGATAATCTTTGTGTATGACAGAAAACCTAAATAAACTTTGTTGCAACACAGATAAATCTTTGTACAACACAGATCTTTGTTCAACACAGATGTACAACACTTTTTGCAACACAGATAATCTGTGTAACACAGACTTGTGGCAACAGGTAGACCTAACAAAGACCAGATCTTTGTATGACCCAGGTAAATAGTGTGAACATAAATAAATATTTCTGACAGATTTCTGCGCAACCTAGACAAGTCTTTATGTGACAGCTTAATCTGTGTATGATGCAGACTTATCTGTGTAACACAGATAAATATTTGTGACAGACATATATTTTTAGCAACTCAGATAAATCTTATCAAACAGATAAATCTTTGTGTAAGAGGCAGATTTTTTTGTTTGTGTTAATTCAGACAGATAGATTACTTGTACAATTCAGACAAATCTTTGTGTGACACAGATGAATCTTTGTGCAACAGGCAGAAAAGCAGATAAATCTGTGTGACACAGATAAATCTTTGTGTGACACAGTTAAATCTTTGTGCAACAGGCTGGAAACAGATAAATCTTTGTGTGGCACAGATAAATCTATGCACAACAGGCAGATTTTTGTGTAATTCAGGCAGAACTTTGAGTGAAACAGATAAATCTTTGCGCAACAGACAGATTTTTGTGTAATTCAGACAGATCTTTGTGTGACACGGATTCTTCTTCTTCTTCTTGTGGCTTTCTATCCCCCAATGGAGCATTGGCCCTCAACCAACTTACGCCAAGTCGTTCTATCCTTCGCCATTGCATGGAGCTCTCCTTATGTCCTCCCCTATCTTTCTAGCTTCATTCTCCAGCTCTCTTCTCCATGTGTTTTTTGGCCTTCCTTTATTCCTATGCCCCTGCGGGTTCCAATGCAAAGACATTCTAGTTATGCTGTTCTCCTGTTTTCTCAGTGTGTGTCCTATCTAATGCCAGCACAGATAACAGGCTACAAAAAAAAAAATTTTTAAGTCTAATCTGGCTATTATAAAACATAATACAGGAGATAAGAGAACAATTCTAAAGTATTCTAGTCATCTTCTTCAAAATACAAATGTTACCAGTATTCTGCAGGCAAATTGCCCTCCAGTGGTTATCTAATGCAGATTTGTACAAGTAGACCACTGTATGGGTGCCGGGGCCCTGTTATAGGGAAAACAAGAATAGACTCACTGCCTACCCAAAAGCATGTCGCAAGAGTCGACTAACTGGGAGCTTCCTTCGGAGTGCATCTGCCCAAGAGGCAAGGAGCCAACAGTCTGCCCACAAATGGGTCAGATCTGTCAAACAATGCACGTGCAACACTCAGGTTCTGGAACAGGACTGCAGTCCAGAAGTGGACGAACAACCAGAACTTTCCACCAGTTTACAGCTGGTGAAAGCAAAGAGAAAAAGTAGAAGATACATGTGGAGATATTCTGAGAATTTTCTGTAAAATTAACAAACACAGATTAATGAGGAAACAATTATTGAAATGTATACTGCTGATGTCTATTCATTTTTGTGTTCTTATTTCCTGAAAGGACAAGCAGGAACAAAAGTGATGTAGAAAGGTGATTCAGAGCTAATTATTGTCCAAACACTGTTTTCTAATACTCTCCATGTAGGTTCTGCTGCCTCAATTTGAGAGCCCCCCCCCAAAAGACCCACCCCTGCCTTAACAAGCATGTCCTAAAATGTAATTAAGGTTTTGTGAAACTGAATGTGCTCAGCTAAAAGGCATAGATATTGCAGCCAGGCTGTAAACCACAACATAACATGCCCAACCATCCTTGTGAGGGAGAACGCAGAGGAAGTCTCTCAATACTGCGTGTGACAAACATACACAAAATTTCTGCTGAAGTTACATAGCAAAAAAAAACACACACATGAATTTACAGATCTAGTTTGTCGCCTGGAAGATTTCAATACTAATAACATTTTATATCAAACATGAGGTAAGGTTGTAATACAATACAAATATCCCGATGTTAAACAATCATTTAGTGGAGAAGAATTAGAGACTTGTAATTTAATCTCATACACACCACAGCAGTTTGAAAAAAAAGGGGTCTTTGAAATCATGCTTTCAGTGAAACATTTAACTATAACATTTCTTCATTGTGTTCCTTCTGAATTCTGCCGCATTTTTAGATTGTAAATATTATGCTTAACATTTCAGTGTTTTTGGAAGCAAAAACAACTGATGTGAAGCTGTGACAAAACAAAAATACCATCAAATTATAACAATGAATAAAGACAAATTGTCAATGTCAACTCAGCAAAGATGTCAGCATTTGATAATTATGAAAACTTGTCATGCAAGAACAATAACTATCATTCTTGTTAAGTATTTTGATTCAACCAAAGACAGTTATCACCCTTTACCTAAAACCACACACCAACTCTGACCTTTGTTATCACAATCTGGTAATACTTGCACATGCTAACTGGCCGGACACCGACTAACAGATGGTAATTGATTCAGACAGCGGTCGGTTCTTTTCTTCTATTTCACCCCACCTTCATGACTCCGAGATTGCATAGGGAATTCCCAGGAAAAGTCCAATAGTATAGGGGTGTTAGTGTGTCAAATGAACACAAAACAAACACCCTTTCCCTCAAACTGAACTTTCCCAGGATTCCCCTAGGAAATCTCAGAATCGCTGAGATGGGGGTGAAATGAAAGAAAAGAACCTGGTTGTCTACTGTACTGCTACAACAGCTTCTTGCTATAAACATCTTTCATAAGGTGGCAGATGAAAGCATTTTTATATGTGAATCTTAGCAATAAATTAGGAAACAAAGAACAGATTCGTCTTTTAAGATGTGTACACATCTATACAAAGAAACACAAACAGTATCTGAGCAGTAGGCTCAAGCAGTGAGCGATGATTTGCTAGTCTGTAAAACGTCTCCGCAAAAAGCAGTGTCGCATCTGACGATGTCTGTACAATGGCCATAAAAGTGATGTGATGTCCAGTCTAGGTGTCTTGAAGCAATGCTGATCTGTGATGACATTACAGAATTCTCTTTAATGGATTTCTGTCCATTGATAAGTGTCAGATTTTCTGTTTAGAAAAGCCAAAGTAATAAGTAATTAAACATTGCTTGGACTTGCTGTATGAAATAGCAAAAGTAATAAAACAATAAAACACTCAAACATTGCTTGGACTTTTCATCTAAAATAGCTAAAGTAATAAATAATTAAACATTGATTAAACTTTCTGTATAAAAGCCAAAGTATGAAATAATTAAACACAGCATGGCCTTTCCGTATAACTGACCAAAGAAATAAATAAATAAACATAGATTAGACTTTCCGTTTAAAATAGACAAATACTGTCCTACTAAAGACTAACAGCACTAATCTAAAGACACTAGCACTAGCGATCTAAAGAGCAGCTCTACTGACCTGTCTAGAAAAGGCCACAGTCCTTCAAGTTGTTCTTGATGATGACGTCAGTGACGGCGTCAAACACAAACTGCACGTTGTTGGTGTCGGTGGCACAGGTAAAGTGTGTATAAATCTCCTTAGTATCTTTCTTCTTGTTCAGGTTCTCAAACTGCATCTGTATATATGCGGCAGCTTCCTCAAATGTGTTGGCCCCTGGTAAGCAGACATGTTGAACAGTAGGTTAAGTTAGTTAAGAAGCCTTTTCCATGCCATCAGGCAAACTCGGCATGTAGGGCTAGACCTATATTTTACAGACGACCAATCGGAATTCGGCAGGTGATGTGGTCAGCACCCTGCCATCTACCTTTACTTCCCAGAACTTTTAACTGGTACAGTCGAGTCTGGATAAAAAGAAATCGCAGAGACCTAAGAAAGTGCTTCCACTTATCAGGATTTCTACTTATCCAGACAGCACACACAATAGAGAAAATTGCCGGGACTAAGCTGTCATGTCGACTTAACCGAAATTCAAATTATCCAAGTTCGAATTAAGTGGACTCGACTGTACTTATTAAAGGCTGGGTTGACCTGGTAGCCAAGGTCATTTCTGAAATAAGTCCAGCTCCCTCGGGACCTTCCGGTCTGCAGGTAAGCATCTAGCCACTGCACCACAGCAGCGACGGTAATTCTTTTTCATCATTAGAGAGTCACATGAATAACTATGAAACACAGGGAGGCGCCCTGGCAGAGCCGATAGATGATAACTGATAACATGTGCATTTGAAGGTATTAGGTTCAAGTCCAAACGGGACCAGAATTTTTAAATCATGACCGCGGCTCTCAGGTCGACCCAGACTTAAATGGGCAGCAGGTAAATCCTGGAAAGTAAAGGTGACCAGCACGACGTTGACAGCATCACCCACACACAGTGCTGATTGGTCAATAAAACATAGGTCTAGCCCGATGAGCCCAAAACAAAACACCTGAGGAACTGACTGACTGACTGACTGACGGACTTTCTACCCCACCAGGACATCACACAAGCGATAAACACCCGATGACACAAAGTGCCACCATGCGGATGAGGATGAGGATCTGGAGAGGTCCCAGAAACCGCGTTCAGACAATTGGCCATATTGATGGCCTGCCTAAATTGCGGCCCCTGGCAAAAGCCAGAGTGGGGCTTCAAATGAGAAAAAATTATGTCCTGAAAAGGACGTAAGTAAGGAATATAGGAAAAGGGTAATTTAATATTACAATCAATATATCCCAAGATGTTATAAACATAAAAAATAAATGAAAGAATGGAAATAGTAATAATAATGCTACTGATAATAAAAATAATTATAACAATAATAATGAAAGATAAAACAGAAATATTTGGATGAAGGCCCGCTGAACACTAGGTTCAGAACACCTGAAATATGAATAAGGAGATTTTTGTCAAGCAAAATGATTTGTTAGTTATTCCAAGTGGTGTCTTGGATTCTTCTTGTTTGCCATGGTGCTGATAAAGACACATTGAAACGTAATTTTTTTTCTTTTCCTTCAATGTTTAAAATTGCTTCCCCTGTGTGGGTTTGAGCTCCCCTTGCAGGGGAAAAAACTCATTGCTCCCCTAAGGAAAAATGTCACATAAGGCAACAAATTAGGGGTATTTCCTTTTCAGTCGGAGTGCATCAGCCTGAGAGACGAGGAGCTAACATACTGCATATAAATAAGCCAGTTCTGTGAAATCGATGTGCATGCAAAACTTAAAAGTTCTGGAACGTGAACAAGGTCTAGATTCAGACGAACAACCAGAACCTTTTATTAGAAGTTACAGTCAGGGAAATGTGAAGAAAACCCAGGGACGCAGTTTTTTTTTTTTTTACTTAGTTTCGTCTTTTTGGACGAGTTTTTGTTATTTGAAGTCCTTTGTTTTGCCAGGGCCGCAATATAGGCAGGCATAATATGGCCAAATGTTAGCGCGGTTTCTGGGACCTCTCCACGGCGATCCTCATCCATATGGTGGCACTTTGTGAATGTTTGTCGCTTGTGAGAGTCCTGGAGAAAGTCAGTCAGTCAGAGAGACTTAGTTCTCTTGTTGCAAGAGTTACAGTCCTTTGTGAGACACTCTCGGCAGGCAGTTAGCCATAGAGATATATATAGAGATATATAGAGATATATATATAGAGAGAGAGAGAGAGAGAGAGAGAGGGAGAGAGAGAGAGAGAGACTGTAGAGAGACTGAGAGAGGTACAGAGAAGAGAGAGAGAGAGAAGAGAGAGAGATTTTTATTATCAGCTCACCAGTGTATTCTGGAAAACAAATTTTGAGTGGTGATTTCTTGATCTTCTCCTCAAAAAGATCCTTCTTGTTCAAGAACAGGATAATGGAGGTCTCAGTAAACCATTTGTTGTTACAGATAGAGTCAAACAGCTTCATACTCTCCATCATTCGGTTCTAAAAACAGATCAACAAAGACAAAAAAGTTAGCCCTTTGTTGTTGCAGACAGAATCAGTTTCATAATCCCCATCACTGTCTTCTGAAAACAGACTTTAAAAACACAAACATTATCCATTTGTTAAATAGGCGACCACTAGATTAAGAAGCAGAACCTTATATCTCCCTCAACACCCAAAGTGGTCAAGAAGAAGAGCCCACCTAGCAATAGGTGTTTCGTCCTTTTAGGACATTTTTTGTCATTTGAAGCCCCACCCTGGCCAGGGGCCGCAATAAAGGCAGGCCATAAATATGGCCAATTGTCTGAAAGCGGTTTCTGGGACCTCTCCACCGTGATCCTCATCCACATAGTGGCACTTTGTGTCATCGGGTGTTTATCGCTTGTGTGATGTCCTGGTGGGGTAGAAAGTCAGTCAGTCAGGAGGATGAGGATGAGCAGAAGAGGAGGAGGAGGAGGGGGATGAGCAGAAGGAGAAGAAGAATCTCTATATGTAACTACCTTACATATTTAGCAATCTTCCATCTTTCCATATGGACAGTATTACAAAGGGAAGTGTTAGGGAGCTGCATGGTCTCGAGGTATGGTGTCTGCCTAGAGTGCTGGAGGTCCCAGGTGTGGACTTTAGTAATTTAACCTGGTCTCTCGGTAGTAAGATCGGACACCCGTGTGTACTGTTGCGCACATTGACAAAAAAATCGCTTGGCAGTTGGAAATCAAAAAAGAGTATCCTAACGGCGCTGCTCGGGCAAAACTTGGGAGTTAAAACATGTACCTAAAGTACTTCAGGATCCCTGCCCGGTGCTACGGAGTTCATGCACTGAGATTCTTCAAACTCAGGCTGGAGCCACAAGTAAAACGGAGCACTTATGGGTTACTACCCTTGTGCCATAATGTTGATCCGTCATCTAAATCTAAACCTACAAAGGGAAGGCTTGAGAATCATAGCCCATGCCCATGTAACTAGCAAGCCCAGTTCAAGCCTGGGAGTTCCTATTCTCCATAGCACAAATCCTAAGCAGTATTGTACATACCATGTGTTGCCTATTCAGCATGACTCTCTCTCTCTCTCTCTCTCTGCCTTGTGTACTCCAAAGGAATACTGGTACTGGTACCATCAGAACTGGAACTCTGTGCTATCAGCTAAGGAGGGGATGAAGTGCTTATGGAAATGCCCCAAGTGCTGCGACCTAAATTCTAAACTTGCCTCAACTCCACAATAACACGTCTGGATCAAAGCATGCTGTAGAAGTTGCCAGAGAGAGCTCTATCTGCTAGCTGAAGCTTTCTCCCTAGATCACCTGCCACCAAAGGCAGAAAGCCTGCCTTAACACACTGAGCTTTCAGATTGAATTTTTTCTATGTCCTAATGACTTTCTTGTGTGAGCTGGCTGAATTGATCCCTCCACTGGGAGACCAAGAGCAGAAGAGGGAGAATGCCTTGGGGGAAAAGGGGGGGGGGGGGGGTGTTTATTATTTATTTAGTTTAGACAGTACATATTTTCATGCAGCATTTCATGCATGTTGAGCAGAGCCTCTTAATTAACGTGTTATTCATCACAATTAATGCTTCTGACAGTTCACAACGGATGGCCGAGGCATAAGTGGTTGCCACTTGTCAAGGCCTTATTTCCTGAGCTGGTCTGGTTTGACTGTGTTGGCCAAGCACAAGCGCGAGGAAGTGAGGGGGCTGCTGCTACATGAACAAACTCTCTCTCTAGACATCATCATGTGCCGCTCTGATCAGCGTAGGCTGTTAATCCTGTCTACTGTTAAACCGTAGCTATCCTGTCTACAGTTGAACTCCTGTTCTATTTGAGGTTAAATCATACTTTCTGTCTACAGTTAAACTAGTTATCCTGTCTACAGTGAAGTTCAGGACAAAAATCTTACCATTTCCTGATCCTCGGCCAATGTCAGGTCATACTCACTCATAGCCACAATAAAGATAATAGCTGTCACCCCTTCAAAACAATGGATCCATTTCTTCCTCTCTGATCTTTGACCTCCCACATCAAACATTCTGAAATGAGTGACCACACAGTTGACTTATTAGGCACCAAACAATTTATCACACATTTCTTGATTACTCTATATTTGGTACACATTTCTGAATGTATTTTATCACATTATTCATTCATACATCAGAGCTATCACAAATGTTACCTTACAGTTACCTTCTGTCTAAGGTTACACCATATTTATAATGTCTAAAGTTAAACCAGAGTTATCCTGTCTGAAGTTAACCCAGAGTTATCCTGTCTAAAGTTAAACCAGAGTTATCCTGTCTACTGTTCAACCAGAGTTATCCTGTCTAAAGTTAACCCAGAGTTATCCTGTTTACAGTTAACCCAGAGTTATCCTGTCTGCAGTTTAACCAGAGTTATCCTGTCTACAGTTAAACCAGAGTTATCCTGTCTAAAGTTAAACCAGAGTTATCCTGTCTAAAGTTAAACCAGAGTTATCCCTTTAACTTTTAGTCCCATAGCTGCATTTTTTAAATTCAAAATTCTATTTTTGTTATTCTAGAGTACAAAAACTGTGAGACAGAAAGTAATTAGGCAATGTTGCTTGTGAGGACTGAAAAAGTCAGCGACAAACACTACATGATAAAAATAACATGGTTTCTCAATGCCCTGTCTTCAAAGGACGACTTGGAGGATGCTGACGTTAGCCTTTACAACAACATTTCTTTTTTTTTTTTCTGTTCACTGGCTGTGAGTTCCAATGGAAAGTCCCAGTTGTTTGTCCTTTCATACTTTGTCTTTATACCGGGACCTGAGTTTTGCGTGTACATCTGTTTTACTAGCTTATTTTTGTGCAGATCTTGTTCTCTGCCTCTCGGGCAGATGTACTCCGACTTCAAAGGAAGATGTCATTCCTATCTCTATAATGACTGCTGCTATTACTACAATGTGGGCAACTAGGTCAAGACTGATACAGCCTACTGGGACAGAAGGGACTGTGCTGTTTGTGCAGATGGAGGACAATAAGGGTATGAATATGAATAAAGGATAAAGATGATTGCAGATAGGTTCAGAGCTGCATGTGTAGGAAGAGGCTCATGAAATACATGGAATGGCAACAAAGGTAATACAATTTCTGTCTAAGAATTTTACTAACACAAGCAGGTCTTCCTGCCGTACATTCCAGGGAATGGAGAATGAGAAGCAACAAAGAAATTCATAATCTGTTTAAATCACCACTGATCACTGGTATCATGAGAGCTAAAAGACTGGAAGGTTGGGGCATATTGAAACAATGTCAGATGACAGAGAAGTAAAAGCTGTATACACACGGGAGATGAATGGTCGTAGACCACGAGGCAGTCCAAGAAGACGATGGAGAGATAATGTCCAGGCAAACCTGCAAACACTTGGTGTCACTAAGTGGAAAGAGAAGGCCAACCACAATGATGAATGGAGGTGAGTGATATCTGCAGCAATGAACCTCAAGGCTCTGAATGCTGAACAAGAAGAAGAAGAAGAAGCAGGTCTTCCTAGTCCCACTGGCCACAGAGATGGGCTGTGATTCTTATGTCTAGCTGTAAAAACTATCACCGTCATCAATGACATACAAGAAAGTAAACACATGGAGGCTTTCAATTTCGTGGAAAATGATTTTTCACTCAACAGACTGAGTATCATGGGTGTACCAATTGGAGCCGTGAGACAGAAAAACCATGCGGGAGCCACCAGTCATGACATCAGCCAGAACAGAATGGCAGTTGCCTAAAAACACCTAGAGACATACTCAGGAGGAGATCGGTGCCCCTGTGATCATGTTCGATAAAGATGATCTCTAACATGAACTATGAACTATCGTTCTCAAAGACAGAAGGGTGTCAACAATAAATGTGATGACTGGAACTGCTTCTCTCTGAAAGTGTGTTATATCTGCAGGTTTTGATCATTCTGCCAGCCTTACATGGGCCGCTACATCTTTATGCTTTTCGTTTTAATGTGCTACTGCACCAATAGGAAAGCTGTCGTGGTGTAGCAGCTATACACTAGCCTGTGGGTCCTAAGGTCAAAGGTTGAGGTCCTGGCGAAGCCTGACATTTAAAAAAAAAACTTTACTCCCATGTCAATCCAGCCTTAAATAGGTACCAGGTAAAGTAATAGGAAATAATGGCAGCTAGACTGATGGTGACCCCATCACCCAGCGAAGGCCAACTGGTCTATAAAATATAGGTCTAGCCCTGTTTACCCAATATGCCTGAAGAAATTGAAGAGGGTCCTTTACTGCCCCTATAACATTATTACATTTTTCAAAGGTTTATGGAGCCCACATCCATCCCCTCATATGATTCACATAAACGAACAAATAGTGTTATTTTCAAAAAGTTAAGAATTGAGCATGTTGACCTGTCCAACATTATGCACTTCCATTAGCACTACTTGCAAACTGTTATTCATTCATATGTCATTTCACAAGTAATCATAAACATTTTTAGTATAAGTCTTAACCACAAACACTAGGGTACTTACATAACTAAACTACAATAAAAATAATAATAATAATGAGCAGCATAATTTAAACATCATCGACAACCAAACAGTAATTACTAATGCTGGAAGGTGCTTAACTGGCACCCATATTTTTAAAGAATAATTATTCTTCTGTCCACATACAAAGACAGGCACAACCTATAGTGGCACAGCAGTAAGCATCTGTTCGTCAAATCAGTGGTCCTGATTTAATCCACACAGCAGAGGATACATGTATCCAATACGAAGCCACATTATTCTTTTGTTCAGCTAGTATGGCTACGGATTTCAGCCAGGGTCAGTGATTATTGTTGTCTTCTTTTTCTTCTTAGCATTCACTGGCTGTTAATGCAGGTGAAAAGTCCTGGTCGTTAGTGAACTTCTGAACTTAAGTTTTGTGCAGATGCATGCTGACTTCAAAGGAAACACCCCTAATTAGTCGCCTTTAACATCCTTGTTAGGGGAGGATGTGGATCTATTCTCCCCCCCCCCCCCCCCCCCCTTCCAATGGGGTCAAGTTGAGACAGAACTAATGCTAAACTACATCAAGAGACAACAGATCAGATGGGTTCACACACGTCAAGACTATCAAAAGATGCAGCATCAGGGACGGCCTGTAATCTTGGTTTAGATGTAATCAGAGCTAGAGGTCGCCCATGCAAGCTACAGAGAGTTGCAATATCTGAGGCTGCAGTAGCAGCAACTACATAGCGCACACACCAAGATTCTCCTAGATACCTCCTCAAAACCTGACATGGAAAGGCAGAACATGATCTATAGAAAAGAAGAAAGAAAAGGCAAGGAGCAAAGAGCGCAATCACGCTCAACACCCACACGTATGTAATGCCTTACTTGAAGTGTAAATCCTTGAAGGTGAAATGGGTTTCAACAATGCCCGTTGTTTTAACTCTGGTCCGCAATACATCCTGCTCTGTTGGTATGTACCCTGGGGCAGAAATTCTGTCCAAGGCATTCAGGTAGCTGAAACAGTTTCATACTTGGAGTCAACTGACAGGTAGGCAGGCAAGTGAGTAATCATGTATGTAGTTAGATAGGTAAGTAGTCAGGTAGTGAGTTAGGTAAGCAGTGGGTTAAGTAGCTAGGCAGATAGATAAGTAGAGAGGATGGCACATACGTAGTTCAGTAGATGAGCAGACAGGTAGACACTACATGCCTATGTAGGTAGGTGGAATATTGAATGTTGAATTAAGAACTGACATAAAAAAACTCGGGACACTCCCATAAGTGCTGTCCCCATCTTCAACAGCAAACGAAGAGTTCCATTTCTGGTGGCACCAGTAGCCGTCTGATTGTTTATCCGTCTTATCCTTCTCCTGAGTACTTAGCGTCGGCCACGTCCCCTGGTAACTCCTCACAGCTCCATTCTCCTCAGACGGTAATGATCTATCTGCGCATCCGCACTATTAACTCATTCCCAAAGGGCCCTCAAGTGGTGCACAGCCAGTCAGTCTATCTGCCTGCTCATTTCCCAACACACCAGCATCACCCAGTGAAATATCTAAAGGATGCTAACTACCCAGAACCTCTGAAGTGAAGTTTGCCACTCTGAACGAAGCATGCCTGTCTTCACCTCTCTCAACATGCTCTGTGAGTCAGTTACAATCATGGCTTGTGTGTACAGCTGAATCTCAAGCCCGTGGAAGGTAGCAGAGACTGCCTCCACCTCCATTATAAAACTAGACGTTGTGATGTGATATATGCAAGGCTTTGCGGCACTAAGCGACGTCCATTTGAATGCTATGAACGTCCATGCACTTCGTCTGCCCCTCAACACAGAGCCATCTGTATAGATAATCACATAACCTGGGCGGGAATTGTTATGAATCATTTGCTGAACTTCTGATTCTGCAGCACCAGCTGGCCAGTCTCTGCACTCACGACCTAAAGTGATTAGAACCCTACACAAGTCTGAAACTTGTTCGGACACCTTGACCCACTCCTCTCCATGCTCAAATTTATCAAGCCTGCACACGTCTAATTGTGTCTTCAGCTTGTGCCATCCAAAACCTTTCACCTTCCTCTTTTCAGCCTGTGACCCTTAGTTCTACCCAGGGCTTCATGCAGGAGGTACTTCTTGTCTGCAGCTACTCTGAGATATGGTTTTGCCTGCAGAACTTTAAGCCTATCTGCAATAGTAGGCAATACAAGTATGCACACTGAGAGTATTCTGTATTCTGTAGGTAGGTGGATGGGTCATTACCTGCACAAGACTGCAAGTTACACCTGACTGTGTAACCATTACAGGAAGCCCTAATGATAACTCCTCTGGAGGTTGAATAGGGTATCTGAGATCTGCTTTGTAGGTCTACCATCAGATTGATATTTTTTAATCTCACAATGGTATGGTAAACCTAAAAGTGGCAGCCTTGAATGTTAAATGTTGAAAACTTTGTGGGAATTAAGAATCAACATCACAGAACTAAAGGAAAACCCCCATAAAGCACTCCGTACACCAACCTTAAGAGCAGCCACAGTGGAGTTAAAAGTACCGATGGTGGACTGTCAGTAATGTCTGATTGTATATCCGTCTCGGTCTTCTCCCCTGAGTGTCCTAGCGTCAGCCAGGATCCCCTGTATCTCCTTTGTAAGTGCCAGCAAAAACAAGTACAACATGCCATACTTAAGATAACTACATGCCATAAAAAAAAAAAATACAACAACAATACAATACAAAACTGTACTCACTATTCAGCATAGTCCTTGACGATTTCTCTAGAACGAAAAAGCTTCTTGTAACCCACGTCTTTCACAGCCGCTTAGATTGAAAATTCGGAGACAGCCCGCCCTCATCTCCTGGCCAGCCGGGGCAAAAATTGGCGGCATCCCCGTCGACAGAATAAAAAAACAATATGTCTACTTTTAATAAGAAAGCAATGTTTTGTCTTTTTCATATTACGGGTTTCAATTCCAACGCTTTTTTCTTCATCTATCTTTTTTTCTTTTAAAAGTAAATGTCTTGCCCGTTTTTGGCAGTGTTGCGAACTAGGGGAAACCCCGCATATTGTCCCCATCTTTTAAACTACAAAAGTTTTTTTTTTTCATTTCTATTTTAAAAAGGAAAAACCCTTTTTCCCCGGTTCAGGGGAATTTGACATCATGGGTTTGACATATACTTTAATGACCAAACCACACTTGGCGGGGGATTACAAAACCCGGGGGGTCGCTTTCCTTTCAGGACTGCGCCTGTACCCACTCAAACTGAACACCCACACGGGTTTTAAAGGGGTTTTTTTGCCATTTTTTTTTCTCCATGTTTTGTAGCTTTTAAAGTGCTAATGAAAATACAAAAATGTGATATTAACAGAACCCCCCTAAAATTTTGCCAAGGTGACAGGTTCGGAACTATCAAACAGAATGATAGTGTGTATATGGGGGGGACAGGAAAAATTAATGTTTCGTTACCAAAAAAGTTTCGTTTTAGGGCAATATGTCAACGACAAAAAAAAACCCCCTGTCCAACGCAAAAATTTCCCCAAACCAAAAGCAATGCCTTTTTCAACCCCGAACCGTTTGGTGTAACAATCCCGGGTTCCATGCGTCCGAAAAAATTTTTTGCCTTTATGCAAACAATGTCAAATGCAAATGCAACTACTACCATTCAGTTAATACCAAAATGCAGGGGAAACAAAACAAATTTCGGGAAAAACTAACAACATAAAAACGAAAGCTAAAAACTTTTTTTTCTCATTTTCACCTGCATTGGGTGCTTCCGGGGGCCCCCAAAAAAAAATTTTTTTAAGAAGGCTAGCCAACACCCTTTAACATGTTTAGTAAATTTTCAAATTTTAGTATTTCTACTAAATATTAAAATTTAAACACCTGAATTTAATGGTTAAACACCCTAAGGCAACAAACTTAAAAATTTTAA